TCTTCTACAGAAACCCTGGCCCGCATCTTGAAGTGGCTTTCATTGTGTCATTCGGCACTTTAACAGTCTCTAGTCAGAGTGAGGGGTACACTTAGAAGCACTTGGGCATGTGAAAGCCGGTGGCAGGGGGACAGGGAGGGACCCCCTGACCTTGCTCTCTAGGCCAGAAGTTGCTGTCTGTCCTGAGAGGGGAAGCTGCCCACTGCTCCCCACTGAGGGTCCTAGCAGCCACCTGCCAGCTTTTCTCAGGTCTGTTGCCTAAGACAAGGACATGGTCAGAGCTGGGGCTGGAGTCCCAGGTGATGTGGCGTTGGAGGTCTCGGGAACGTATGTTCACTTGGGGGGCTCTGTCTTTGGCAGGGTTTTTGTAGGGGTGAGGGAAAACCCTCTAAACAGGTGGCTTGGGGTGAACATAACTCCACACTAGGAGCAAGCACAAGTGGAGTTTGTATCTTTAACACGGGATCATTGCTAAGACACGAGCTGCACAGATTTTGGAGATTAAGATCAGCTGGGGGGCGGAGTGGGCGAAAACATTTGCAGGTCATATCTGATCAGGGACTTGTATCCAGAATACATAAGGAACTTCTACAACTTGGGATGATTAAGGTTGTCAACTTGGCTGAGCCATGACTCTCAGTGGTTTGGCAGTTATGAAATGATGTCATTTGGCAGTTATTATAATGATGTAGTCATCCTCCATAATGTAATCTGATGTGATCAGCCAATCAGTTGTAAGAGGAGTTTCCTTGAGGTTGTGGCCTGTAGCCTATATACGTATCCATATGGATGTTCTGGCAAAGCTCGCTTGATTGCTCTGGATCCTGTATCTACCTCGTCACCGTCTGACCTCTGTTCTTGGGACTTGAGCCAGCAGCCTGCTGCCTAACCTGCCGATCTTGGGTTCATCAGCCTCCACGGCCTGTGACCCAGTGAGCTGCTGTCTGGCCTGCAGATCTTGGGTTCGTCAGACCCTGCAGCTGCGTGAGTTAGGAGAGGTCTCCAGCCTGACACCTGATCCACGGACTTGTAATGGACTTGCCAGCCTCTGCAACTGTGTGAGTCATTTCCTTGAGATAAGTCTCTCTAAATATACACTTATATGTGTGTGTGTGTATATATATACGCGTCAGTGGTTTTGCTGCTTTAGAGAACCCAGCCTAAGACACAACTCAACAATAAAAAACAACCCAGTTAAAAAATGGGCAAAGGACTTGAATAGACATTTCTCCAAAGAAGATACACGAACAGCCA